TAGAACAAAAAAATTCACAATTTGTATGGAAACACAAAAGACCCCGAGTAGCCAAAGCAATCTTGAGAACGAAAAATGGAGCTGGAGGAATCAGGCTCCCTGACTTCAGACTATACTACAAAGCTACAGTAATCAAGACATTATGGTACTGGCACAAAAACAGAAAGATAGATAAATGGAACAGGATAGAAAGCCCAGAGATAAACCCATGCACATATGATCACCTTATCTTTGGTAAAGGAGGGAGTATGTACAGTGGAGATAGGACAGCCTCTTCAATAAGTGGTGCTGGGAAAACTGGACAGCTACATGTAAAACTATGAGATTAGATCACTCCCTAACACCATACACAAATATAAGCTCAAGATGGATTAAAGACCTAAATGTAAGGCCAGAAACTATCAAACTCTTAGAGGAAAACATAGGCAGGACACTCTATGACATAAATCACAGCAAGGTCCTTTTTGACCCACCTCCTAGAGAAATGGAAATAAAAACAAAAATAAACAAATGGGACCTAATGAAACTTCAAAGCTTTTGCACAGCAAAGGAAACCATAAACAAGACCAAAAGACAACAATCAGAATGGGAGAAAATATTTTCAAATGAAGCAACTGACAAAGGATTAATCTCTAAAATTTATAAGCAGTTCATGCAGCTCAATAACAAGTAAAGAAACAACCCAATTCATAAATGGGCAGAAGACCTAAATAGACATTTCTCCAAAGAAGAGATACAGACTGCCAACAAACACATGAAAGAATGCTCAACATCATTAATCATTAGAGAAATGCAAATCAAAACTACAATGAGATATCATCTCACACCAGTCAGAATGGCCATCATCAAAAAGTCTACAAATAATAAATGATGGAGAGGGTGTGGAGAAAAGCGAACGCTCTTACACTGCTGGTGGGAATGTGAATTGGAACAGCCACTATGGAGAACAGTATGGAGGTTTCTTAAAGAACTACAAATAGAACTACTATATGACCCAGCAATACCCTGAGAAAACCATAATTCAAAAAGAGTCATGTACCAAAATGTTCATTGCAGCTCTATTTACAATAGCCAGAGATGGAAACAACCTAAGTGCCCATCATCGGATGAATGGATAAAGAAGATGTGGCACATATATACAATGGATTATTACTCAGCCATAAAACAAAACGAAATTGAGCTATTTGTAATGAGGTGGATGGACCTGGAGTCTGTCATACAGAGTGAAGTAAGTGAGAAAGAGAGAGAAAGGTAACGTATGCTAACACATATACATTAAATTTAAGAAAAAAAAGTTCATAAAGAACCTAGGGGTAAGACGGGAATAAAGACACAGACCTACTAGAGAATGGACTTGAGGGTTGGGGAGCCGGAAGGGTAAGCTGTGATGAGGCGTTAGAGTGGCATGGACATATATACACTACCAAGCATAAGATAGCTAGTGGGAGGCAGCTGCATAGCACAGGGATATCAGCTCGGTGCTTTTTGACCACCTGGAGGGGTGGGATAGGGAGGGAGATGCAGGAGGGAGGAGATCTGGGAACATATGTATATGTATAACTGATTCACTTTGTTATAAAGCAGAAACTAACACACCATTGTAAAGCAGTTATACTCCAATAAAGGTAAAAAAAAAAAAAAAAACGGAACAACAACAGGAATAGGGTAAATAACTAGACATTGGACAATTTTATGGCAGGAAGAAAGAGGGGCTAAACTCTGTTAGAAGATCAAGAAGTCACACATTTCCCATCCTTGGAAGAAGGAAAGCACTACAGGTATGCAGGAAGGCTCCATGGGGTCAAAAAGGCAGGGGAGGCCAGACCATAATGTCTTGCTGTTTTCCCTCCCAGACACCCTTGTGATGAAATCCATCTTGACTGAGGTGTGTGTGCATACGGAGGGGAGGGTCCTGAAATAAATTAGCCATGGGGTCAAAGCAAGTCGATTGGCCAAGAAGACAAAGGCCCAGAAGACTGCCCCCTTATAAAGGATTTAAACTTCCCAAAGGCGGGACTTCTGCAACTCTCTTGCTGAGTTCACCAGTGTGTCTTTCCGCATCTACTCTGCTTTTCTAGTAAACACTTTACTTTCTTCTATACCAACTGTCTCCTTGTCAGATTCCTCCTTACAAGGCAGACAAGGACTGGGGATTTAGACTCTAGCTGCTGTCCCTGTGGTCTAGCGGTTAAGATTCCTGGTTTCCACCCAGGTGACCAGGGTTTGATTCCCAGTCAGGGAACTAAGGTCTTGCTTCCAGCCGCTGCTCACTGCAAGCTACCGCTCAATGCTTTGTGTGTCCAAAATCAAAAACACCAAGTACAATCTTCCCTAATATCCCTCTCCTCTGCCTCTCTAGCTTAATTTTATCTTTGCCTCTCTTTCTTCAGACACAGTTGATGGCTATCCCTTCAGGCCTGCTCTCTAGCTCCAAGCTGCTCTGAGACTGGGAACCATCTTCAATCTCTCCTCTCCATAAGCTGCTTCTCCTCAGTCCACACACCCCACAGTCATCCTGATCCTAGAAGGCCCTTTTCCATCAAACATTCCCTACCAGCTCACTGTCAGCCCACTCCTTTCTTCAATTGCTCTCCATCTCTGCCTCTGTAACTTCTAAAACCACCATGATCAGGCTTCCCACCACCAGCCTCACCCAAGGCCATTGAACAGCTCTTATGAAGGTTACCAGGGACTTGCAAAAGGCCAAATCAAAGAGTTTCATTTTAGTTCTTAGCCCAAGAGACAACTATTGCAGAAACTGCTAGTCATTCCAAAATAACAATTCCTTCTTTTAAAACAGAATCCTCCAAACATATTCATTCTCCCTTGCAGCTAGATGTGGCCACTGATCTGTGAGCAGGAGGGAAGAACACAACGTCTGGGTCATATCCATAAAATGAAGGGCATGTCTCTATTTCCCATCCCACTTCCTGCTGGCTGGATGTGGGTGTGATGTGATCCACATTTGCCACGTTTGCAATTAGCATAAGACCTATACCCCAGGGGTGTAGAAAAACAAGGTATAAGGAGCCACACCTCCAGATGATTTCATGAAGCCCTACCTCCCTGGGCCACCCTTGAGCTCAGAGAGACTAACTGAGTGGCTGAGGATCACAAAGCCAGACTAAAACCCAGGCCCAAGCTTAGTGCTCTTCCCAGTACACTCCTTGGTAAAGTACAATCAGTTCTGGGAGGGTGGGCTCCAATAGCCTCTGGTACCACATACCCACATAACTTCTGTTATCAGGCATCAATTTAGCCACCAAAAGCTCAGCTCTGCAGAGTCTAAAAATATTTCTAGGAGCTCAATGTCTACATACCTTTTTTGGGATTGTCTTTCTCCTCCTGAAGCACTAAAACTTCTCTTTAAAGTGACTGAAACAATAAAATAAAAATAACTTAACATTTTCCTGTGGCAGATCTTTTATTTATTCACTCATTTGTTTGTTTAAAAAATATCTAACCAATTGTACCTACTGTAAAGACTGTCTTCATTTATTATAGCATCAGCAAAATATAATATTGCATATTACTATTTACTTGACAGGTTTGTTTAAAGGTCTTTTCTCAAAGAAAAGGTGCTAAACAAAGAAACTCCATTGTTAGTAGCTAAAAAGTTCATAAAATATCTGTGTCATAATCATCCTAAATCCCTTACCAAGAAAGCTAGAAGTAACCACATGAAAGTGTAAGGGTCCAACTTTCCTTTATCACTTCCCCACTGACCCTCCCCACCCTTGTTACTGGGGATACATAATATCCCATCATCTAAAAATTCATCTCAGTTAGTAATTAATTGCTTCTAGAATTTCCTACATATGTTTAAATGCACAAATATTTTTACTGCATAATATTCATGTTTTCCCAATTGCAAATCAAGACATTTTATTTATCAGGCAGGAATTTATAGGGAAAACAGAACAGAGTGTTGGAATTTGGGGTTGCCCCAGAAAATCTGGAACATCTATTCTCCATTTTTATGGACCAATTAATTTTCGAAAGGGACAAAGAATGAAGCAAAATCCTTAGAGTTCTACTCTGATCCTTAGGGACACTATTTTAAACCATTTATTATGAAATTTTCACAGTATAGTCATTGATGAGAGGGGATTATTTAGACTTAATTTATTTCAGAGTATTTCTACCTATCTTATTTAATATTCCATCAATTTACTCTTTTTAAAGAGTTATTTTTTTCTCTCCATTTTCTATTTTAACTGATCTTTTATTTCAGTTTCAGATTTGTTCAGGGAATTGAATCTTATCTTTCTGTGAGGAAGATTCTTTAAATTTTATCTAAATATATCTTTACTTTCTCATACCCCAGTCTGATTTTTTTTTTACTGTTTCAAATTAAGAGTAAAGATGAACATATTTACTGAATTTACATAGCTTCTTTTTATAATTCTAAACAATTAAGACATTTATTTTACTTTAGTGTTTTAAGGAAAATATATCCCTTTATATTAATGTAAATAAAATTGTACAAAACTTAGTCTACACCAAGACTAATTTCTTCTCCAGGTTTCTGACCTCTAATCAACAGACTCATGAAAGGTCACTTCCATTACTCCTGTGGTTATTTAGTCTGTCTCCAAATAAGTTATCTCCACTCCCCAGTTAGAACCTGCATTTGCTGGAAGAAATAATGAAACTGTTCATTTGACTGGAGGCAATGGAAAACCACAGTGCCCGTTGGCCTTTGGGCTCTGTAAGACTGACAGACACACCTGTCCTAATTAGCATTACACCTGAGAAACAAACTACTCATTTATGTAAGTGTGATGACATCTACTTGACTCCCAAGTATGATTCCCAGACCTCTACCTGCTGAAGTCCCACAAACTGGTAAAAAGAAAACTTACTGAATGTAGATTCCTTCAAAGGGCTTGAACTGGAGCTGCTTGAGTTATCCAAAGTGTCCAATTCATCATCAAACTCTGAATATATATCTGCACATTAATAAAAAAAATAAAGAGAAAATGAACCTTGAAACAGAAAGAAGTCAAGAGTTCATTCTTGTTGTAACCCTTTCACTAGAAATACCTTTCTCAATATTTTCCAAGTTGAAGTTATCATCTGACAAGATTCCAGCACAGGCTCGGTCTTCGTCCTTATCACAGGGGGCCTGGAAGCCCTCAGGTGGCAGGTCTGTGCTTTCTGAAAGCTCACTTTTCAGGCTTCCTGCTCCACTACTGCTTCTACTCAAGCTTGCCTTCTCAAAGGATTCCTGAAAGAGAAATTCAGTTGGTAATACCCACTTCTTTCCTTTCTTCTGCAGGACTTAAAACTCATTAGAATATATATTAAAATGACTAAAGTATTATTACAAATAATAATACTTTAGTGGCATCCTTAGTTCCACCTATACATATGCTATAGAATTCATTCAGTCCATAACTACAAAAAGTGGGTCTGCAAGCTACCACTGGACAAAAAAGAATGGATGTGGCAAGATGCTGAGTAACAAAGGTCTGTGCAATCTGACAAAAGAAAATGTAGCACTAAGGAATAGAAATGTAGAATAATTCTGGAGGTAGGTGGCCAAGATGGAGGAGTAGAAAGACCTTAAGCTCACCTTCTCCTATGGACACACCAAAACAACAAGTATTTACAGAGCAACTATTGAAGAAAAAGACTGGAATCTAACAGAAAATATCTTCTACAACTAAAGATATAAAGAAGGAACCACAATGAGACAGGTAGGAGGGACAGGGACACGGTAAGTCAAGACCCATACCTCTGGGTGGGTGACCCTCAAACGGGAAGATAATTACAATTGCAGAGGTTCTCACCAAAGAGAAATGGGTCTGAGCCCCACATCAGGCTCCCCATCCCGGGGGTCCTGCACCAGGAAGACAAGACCCCAGAACATTTGTTTTTGAAGGCCAGCTGGGTTTACTTTCAGGAGAGCCAGAAGACAGGAGGACACAGAGACTCCACTATTATATGACACACACAAAAGTTCACACACTCCAGCACCTAGGGAATAAGAAATTACTTGAAAGGAGCCTGGGTCATACCCACCTGCTGATCTTGGAGAGTCTTCCAGAGAAGGAGGCACGTGGAGCTCCCCTGGGGACATGGACATTGATGGTGGCCACTTTGGGGAGCTCGTTCTACCATGTGGACACTGTTGCTACAAGTGCCATTGTGGAGTCCTCCCTCCAGCTTATCAGCACTAGGACTGGCCCCAGCCCTGCCCACCAGCCTGTAGGAGCAAGTGCTGGGAAGCCTCAGATCAAGCAGATAGTCAGGAGAAGATATAGCTCCACTCATCAGCAGACCAGTTTCCATAAGACCCCCTGAGCCCACAGCTGCCATGGAAAAAGACCCTGTCCACCAGAGGGCCCAGAAACCAGCCCCATACACCAATGCACAAGCACTAGACCAGGGATCCTCAGGTCTTCCAGCTAGTTACCCTGTGATCTGGTCCCACAAACTAGTGGGCAGATACCAGTACCATGACCACTGCAAACTTTCAGCCTGCCTTGTCAGGAGCCAGCCAACCCATCAGCAAGCCTACATCAGCCTTAGCACTTCCTGGGCCTGGGCCCTGCCCACCAATAGACCAAAACCAGTTCTGATAAATCTTGGGCCCCTAAGCCAGCTACCCTGGAATCCAGCCCCACTCACCAGTGGACCAGCAACAGCTTTGAGAAACCTCAGAGCCCACAGCCAGCTGTGTCAGAAATCAGCCCCAAAGCAGGCCAACACTAGACATGGGAACACAGGCTCCACAACACCCACCCCAGGACCCACAGCTCCACCACCAGTGGGCCATCATTAGTTATGTCACCACCAGTGGCTCAGCAGTCAGCTGTGTCATGACCCGGCCCCAACAACCAGCAGCTGACAGGCAACCAACTAGACCAGGGGCCAGCCACACCTACCAGAGCACTCACAGTGGTCAACCTGCCACAAAAGAAGACCCATGCAGCCCACATAGGGGGCAACCCTAGAGCACATAGCTCTGCTGACAGAGGGGAGTGTACTGCCAGGATGCATAGGATGTTTCCTACAAAAGACTACTTCTCTAAAGTCAGGAAATTTAAGAAACCTACCAAATACACAGAAATAAAAACAGAAAACTAGACAAAATGAGGTGACAGAGGAATATGTTCCCAAAGAAGAAACATGATAAAACCCCAGAAGAAGAACTAAGTGAAGTAGAGAGAGGCAATCTACCCAATACAGAGTTCAAGGTAATGATTGATGATAAAGATGATCAAAGAAGTGAGGAAAAGATCGAATGAACAGAGTGAGAAGTCAGAAGTTTTAACAAAGAGTTAGAAAATATAAAGAAGAACCAAACAGAGATGAAGAATACAATAACTGACATGAAGAAAACACTAAAAGGAATCAACAGTAGATTGGATGATATAGAGGAACAGATCAGTGAGCTGGAAGACAGAGTAGTGGAAATCACTGAAGCTGGAGAGAAAAAAGAAAAAGAGGAATGAGGATAGGTTAAGAGACATTTGAGACAATGTCAAACATGCTAACATTCACATTATAGGGTATAGGGGTACCAGAAGAAGAAAAGAGAGAAAGAGGCAGAGAATATATTTGAAGAACTCCCTGAACCTGGGAAAGGAAATAGGTATCCAGGTTCAGGAAGCACAGAGAGTCCCAAACAGGATCACCCCAAAGAGGACCACAACAAGTCAATTGTAATTAAAATGGCAAAAATTAGAGATAAAGAAAGCATATTAAAAGCAGCAAAAAAATAGCAAGAAGTTACATACAATGGAACTCTCATAAAACTATCAGTTGACTTTTCAGCAGAAACTGCAGGCCAGAAGGGAGTGGCATGATATAGTTAAAATAATGAAAGGGAAAAACTTACAACCAAGAATATTCTACTTGGCAAGGCTCTCATTCAGATTTGATGGAGATGAAGAGTTTTACAGACAAGCAAAAGCTCTAAGAGTTCAGCACCACCAAACCAGCTTTACAAGAAATGTTAAAGGTACTTCTCCAAGTGAAAAAGGCCCAACTAAAAACAGAAAAATTACGAAAGGAAAAGTCTCACTGGTAAAACTAAATATACATGTACGAAGATAGTAGAAAGGTTAAAAGACAAAAGCAATAAAAGCATTTAGTCAGCAACAAGTAATTAAGGGGTACACAAAACAAAAATGATGTAAAATATGATGTCAAAAACAGAAAACATGGTGGGAGAGAACTTAGATTGCAGGATTGTTAAAATGCAATTTATTATTTATTTTTTCCTTTTTTTTAACATCTTTATTGGAGTATAATTGCTTTACAATGGTGTGTTGGTTTCTGCTTTACAACAAAATTAATCAGTTATATATATACATATGTTCCCATATCTCTTGCCGCTTGCATCTCTCTCCCTCTCACCCTCCCTATCCCACCCCTCCAGGAGGTCACAAAGCACCGAGCTGATCTCCCTGTGCTATGTGGCTGCTTCCCACTAGCTATCTACCTTACGTTTGGTAGTGTATATATGTCCATGCCTCTCTCTCACTTTGTCACAGCTTACACTTGCCCCTCCCCATATCCTCAAGTCCATTCTCTAGTAGGTCTGTGTCTTTATTCCTGTCTTACCCCTAGGTTCTTCATGATATTTTTTTCTTAAATTCCATACATATGTGTTAGCATACGGTATTTGTCTCTCTCTTTCTGACTTACTTCACTCTGTATGACAGGCTCTAGGTCTATCCACCTCATTACAAGTGGCTCAATTTCGTTTTTTTATGGCTGAGTAATATTCCATTGTATATATGTGCCACATCTTCTTTATCCATTCATCTGATGATGGACACTTAGGTTGTTTCCAACTCTGGGTTATTGTAAATAGATCTGCAATGAACATTTTGGTACATGACTCTTTGTGAATTATGGTTTTCTCAGGGTATATGCCGAGTAGTGGGATTGCTGGATCATACGGTAGTTCTATTTGTAGTTTTTTAAGGAACTTCCATACTGTTCTCCACAGTGGCTGTATCAATTGACATTCCCACCAACAGTGCAAGAGGGTTCCCTTTTCTCCACTCTCTCTCCAGCATTTATTATTTGTAGATTTTTTGATGATGGCCATTCTGACTGGTGTGAGATGATATCTCATTGTAGTTTTGATTTGCATTTCTCTAATGATGAGTGATGTTGAGCATTCTTTCATGTGTTTGTTGGCAGTCTGTATATCTTCTTTGGAGAAATGTCTATTTAGGTCTTCTGCCCATTTTTGGATTGGGTTGTTTGTTTTCTTGTTATTGAGCTGCATGAGCTGCTTGTAAATTTTGGAGATTAATCCTTTGTCAGTTGCTTCATTTGCAAATATTTTCTCCCATTCTGAGAGTTGTCTTTTGGTCTTGTTTATGGTTTCCTTTGCTGTTCAAAAGCTTTGAAGTTTCATTAGGTCCCATTTGTTTATTTTTGTTTTTATTTCCATTTCTCTAGGAGGTGGGTCAAAAAGGACCTTGCTGTGATTTATGTCATAGAGTGTTCTGCTATGTTTTCCTCTAAGAGTTTGATAGTTTCTGGCCTTACTTTTAGGTCTTTAATCCATCTTGAGCTAATTTTTGTGTATGGTGTTAGGGAGTGATCTAATCTCATACTTTTATATGTACCTGTCCAGTTTTCCCAGCACCACTTACTGAAGAGGCTGTCCTTTCTCCACTGTACATTCCTGCCTCCTTTATCAAAGACAAGGTGACCATATGTGTGTGGGTTTATCTCTGGGTTTTCTATCCTGTTCCATTGATCTATATTTCTGTTTTTGTGCCAGTACCATAATGTCTTGATTACTGTAGCTTTGTAGTGTAGTCTGAAGTCAGGGAGCCTGATTCCTCCAGCTCCACTTTTCTTTCACAAGATGGCTTTGGATATTCGGGGTCTTTTGTGTTTCCATACAAATTGTGAATTTTTTTGTTCTA